CTTTCTTTCTTTCTTTCTTTCTTTCTTTCTTTCTTTCTTTCTTTCTTCCCTCCCTCCCTCCTTCCTTCCTTCCTTCCTTCCTTTCTTCCTTTCTTTCTTCTTCGGCATATCGTCCCACAGGGATAAGCGGCCGTCATGGATGATCGTTATATTGCCGGATGCAGGTTGTATTGCAGGCATGGCAGCAGAAGCTGAGCGATCACATCTCTACTTCAGACATGAGTTAGAGAAAGGGAGCTTGAAGTCAAGCCAGGCTGTGACCTGTCAGAGCCCTTCCCCAGTGACGTACTTCATGCAGCAAGGGTTCACTTTTCCGTAACATGCCATCCAGTTCCACCAGCTGGGGACCATGCCTTTAAATATGTGAGCCTAGAGGTGACATTCCTCATTCAAACCAACACTCTGCTATAGAAATATCTTCATGATGATTGTTAAATTAAAAAAAAATTAACCAAAATATAGAACTGTTGTAGCATATTTAAAGGTTGTGTGCATTAGAAAAGTCTTTTTTCCTTGTTATTTTTTTAAAAAAATAATTTTTTATGAATTACAGTTTATTCACTTTGTATCCCAGCTGTTGCCCCCCTCCCAATCCTACCCTCCCTCTCTCTTCTTCTCCAATGCTCCTCCCCCAGTCCACTGATAGGGGAGGTCCTCCTCCCCTTCCATCTGACCCTAGTCTATCAGGTTTAGAAAAGTGTTTTTATATGCACAAGAAAAAAAATTTAGAATACTCTATTTTATGGAAATATTTTACACAGCTACAAATAACATGTGGTTTAAAGCTTTCCAGCTGTTTTAACAGCTGAAAAGGTAAAAAGGAATTAAGTAAAATTAATTTTAATGATGCATATTTCATCAAAGTCAACATAGCCAAAATAATGTCATTTTAATATTACTAATATAAAGTTATACAATGAGGTCTTTTGCATAATTTTTTGTGCTTTTTTTGACATTCAGCGAACAGTTTAGAATCAGAGCATGTCTTAGTTTGTATTAAGAATATTTTAGCTCTTCAGTAGTTTTGTGTGGCTAGGAGCTTTTGTACTTCATAATGTAGAGCTAGGAAGACTTGTCTAGAAATATCAATCATGGGATTCCTTGCACTCTGCCCAAAGTCTGGTTATGAGTATCAAAGCATCTGCATTGATACACTGCTGGGTAAAGTCTTTCAGAGGCCCTCTGTGGTAGGCTTCTGTCCTGTTTCCTGTTTTCTTCCTCTTCCAATGTCTATCCTGTTTGTCTTTCTGAGTGAGAATTGATCATCTTACATATAGGTGTAGAGATTTAGTATGTTTATCCTATATTATAGGTCTAGTATCCACTTATAAGTGAGTATATAGCATGTGAAGGGGGAGGTAGAAAGACTGGAGAGGACAGGAGCTCCACAAGGAGAGCAACAGAATATCTGGACTCAGGGGTCTTTTCTGAGACTGATACTGCAACCAAGGACCATTTATGGAGATAACCTAGAAACCCTGCACAGATGTAGCCCATGGCAGCTCATTCTCCAAGAGGGTTCACTAGTAAGGGGAACAGGGACTGTCTCTGACCTGAACTCAGTGGCTAGTTCTTTGACTGCCTCCCCTGGATGGGCAAACAGCCTTTCCAAGCCACAGAGGAGGACAATGCAGCCAGTTTGGATAAGACCTGATAAGCTAGGGTCAGATGGAAGGGGCGGAGGACCTCCTATATCCGTGGACTTGGAGAGGGGCATAGGAGGAGATCAGGGAGGGAGAATAGGATTGGGAGGGGAGCAGGGAGGCAGCTATAGCTGGGATACAAAGTGAAAAAACTGTAATTAATATAAAAAATAAAATTTAATTAAAAATATTCTCTAATGTGACCTTAGATTGTAAGGTTAAACTCCCATTTCTCTAAGGAATCTTCTATGTACATATTATCTATGTGTCTAAAACATCTCTGATTTATTAATGGAGTCTCTAATGCTAGCACTACAGGCGTTTCAGAGACTCTGCACTCTAGTGTGCTTGTGGATGGTGATGGTATGTGAAGGGCTTTCTGTGGAGCCTGGCACTCCCCACAATCATCCTGTCATGGTGCCCCAAAGCACAAGCCTTTGAGTGGTGGACACTAACCTCAAGTGGTTGTTGAGTCTTGGTCAATTCCAATTTTCTTTACCAGAACAGCTTCACATATTTTAGCCCAGAAAGATTTATTGGCTCAAACACAAAATGTGGCCTAGATAGACCTTGGGTTGAGTGGTTGAGCATCTAAGAGGGGTTGGGGCCAGACTCTCATCAAAAACGACCCACTGGGAGTGTAGAGTCCTCAGATATTGCCGAGTTAGGGGCTAGTTCAGCATTCTTTCGAAATGGCACACTGGAATACTATCCTGTCAGAGAGAGCCAGGGAATGAATTCCATCATAGGATCAGAGCACTCTGAACTGTAAACAGTGGAGCTGTTTCAATGGCAAATGGAGCAGAAATAAGTGGCACTTACCATTTCAGTGGCTTCACAATAAACACCCGTATTCATAAAAGTTTTGCACTTTGAATAGCTGGGTCCCTGTTGGTGATGGTCTAAAATGATAGCCTGAGTCATTTTTAATTCACCATCTATTATAGAAAAAATAATTGTAATAAATTCACTTGGTGTTAAGGTTAATACGTGCTTTACTGGATTTCTACTCATCATCCATGATTACTTTTTTGAGGAGATCCCCAGGTATCCCTGGAATGGAGCTAAGGTTGTACCTCTGAGATTGCGATGTAAGCGGTTTGATGCCATTTGACATCATCTGTGCACCTTTAGGTATGAAGCACCCTGCCAAGTTGCATGTGCGGTGGTGTGTTGGAGTTTCTTGGCACTCCTTTAGGGAGCAGGAAGCTTGGGTAGTGGGACACTCACCAAAGAACTCAATATTTCTTTTTTGGTTTTAAAAACAAAACATTCTTACAAAATAAGCCTCTGGGTTCCAAACCACAGCATTTCTGAAGCTGGGGTTTTCAGGAAACCACTGAATTTCTGAATGAGATGTTAAGTCTCCTCGTTGTTTTGAACTGTCATGTGCTTTTCAGAACATTCTGATGTCTATTAGGGTAGCCATTTCATGCAAGGGTGAGTTAGACTTTCATGTGAGATGCTAATGCAGAGTGAAAGGCAAGAGATGCAGCTCTTCTTTATTTGGGTTTCAAGCCTTTTCTTTGACACAATGGGGGACTAAATAAGATCCATAACTGTTCCATTGACTGTTTCAGAAGTATCTGAGTTTCTTTTCCTTTGGCTGAATAAAACAGGATGACAAAACCAATAAGGCTTTTTGCCGAGCTTTCTTTCTCCTTTTTATACAGTTCAGGATCCCAGCCCTGGGAATGGTACCCCTCACGGTGGATGATGTGTTGTCCAATTTCAAACAACCCGGGCAAGATCATTCTCCACAGGCATGCCCAGAGACCCTTCTCACATGTGATTTTAGATCTTATTAAGGTGACATGTGAAACTACGCATGCCAGTGTCAAACTGCAGACCATCTTGTGGAGTGAAAGCCTTGGTCTCGGTGGATAGTTTTACAGAATGCTTCTAATTTACGACTAGGACATGCAAAAGAAAAAAAAAAAAACAACCTAGTAAGCTTCCTTGCCTAAAAATTCTGGAGATACTCTATCAGTTAGGCCAAGGCAACAGGTGCACTGCGAGATAAATATGGCTTTGGTATGTTCATTTCTTCCCCCTATACCGGTGGCAGTTAAAGAAAAGTATGAGTGGCAGTTTTATTTAACACAATCATTCAAAAATCTATGTTGTTAGAGGATTGCAGGCTTAAGTGTCAATATCCCAAGGTCCGCCTAACGAAGGAAAAAGAGAAGAATGACTTAATGGTCCAGAACTGGACATGGGTGGTAACATTGCCATTTGCTTTTCATAGGCTGGAACCTAACTATGTTGCTGCATTCAACAGAAAGAGTCTGGGAGTGCAGTTCTTAGCGGGACTCTCAAAGGGTCTCTGTGCCAAGGATGTGAAATGTTGGTGGGCTGCTAGCCAGTTCTGCCATGTATTCTGCCTTCTTTCTCCTAAGGAACCTTAGTCAGGTAGAAAATTTAAACCGATGCTTCAAATAGATGGAAGAGACCATTTTCCCTGTAAGTAGCTTTGATGGCAAGACCTTCACCACTGCCTGCATTGTCTTTGAAGAACTACGTAGAGGAGACTGAAGAAAGGTGGTGGGAGGAAGCAGGAGAGTCAGAAAGGGACGGATGGAAAGAAAAAGTGGAAAACATAAGGTAACATAGTGGGAGATAGATATGGGGCTTATCCTTGATACGTCTGATGGGTTGAGGCTAACTAACAGCATTTATTTTTTATTTTATTTTCTCTTTCAAGTCATAACAATGACTTAATAACAATTCTGTGTGTTCATCACTGGTGTCTGACTCTCCTTCAGTTCAGATATGCTCCAGTGCGTGGAAAGGCTTTGTAAACTACAAACTTTTCCAACTGTAGTTACCAGAAATTTTAGGACAAAACTTGTATTGCCTGATTAAATCAGAAGATCACAATGTAAAAAACCATAATTTCATTCCATTTTATTTTAAAATGCATACAAAGAAAGACATGAGTCTTTTCTAGGCAGCTTGATAGGTCTTCCCAGAATGAACAACAAGAAACAAAACATTTGGACATCTCCTTGCTCCTGCCTCTACCCTAAAAAAGCTAGGATTGAAGATCTGAGACAACACAACCTCTCTCCAAGATCCATACTCCCCTCTGTTTCCCTTCAGAAAAGACTATGCCTTAAAGCCAAACAGGACACAGCAAAATATAATAAGACATATTGAGGCTGGACAAGGCAACCCAATAGGAGGAAAAGAGTCCCAAAAGCAGGCAAAAGAGTCAAAGAAACACCTGCTTCCACTGTTAGGAGTCCCATGAGAACATCAAGCTAACAGCCACAACATATACACCGAGGACCTGGTGCAGACCCATGCAGGCCGCGTGCTTGCTGCTTCAGTCTCTGTGAGCCCGTGTGGCGCCTGGTAAGTTGATTTGGTGGGCGATGGTTTTCCGGTGTCTTCCACCCCCTCTGACTCCCACAGTCTTTCCTTCCTGTCTTCCCTGGAATTCCCCAAGCTCTAGTGAAGGGAGGAGGGACCTGATGGAGACCTCCAGTTTAGACCCTCTCTCCACATAATGTCTGGCTGTGGGTCTTGGCACCCATTCCCATCTGCTGCTGGAGGACGCCTCTTGATGATGACTGGACAAGGCATGGATTTCTGACACGAGGAGTCTTCTCTCTCTTCAAGGGCATTTTTGTTTCTAGTTTTCAGCTGTGATGAGTAACACTGCTATGGACCTGGTTGTACACATTCTTTTATATATATTCTGCATATATTTATAGTTTTTTGAGTGTTTACATTATAATGGATTTTTTCTATATTTATTATTATTATTATTTACAATTTATTCACTTTGTATCCCAGTTGTATCCCTTTGTTTCTTTATCTCCTTATGTG